AGAATGATAAGTCAGGTTAGAACGCCACAAGAATAATCTTGATAAGTTCTGTAAAGTTCTGAAATGAACCAAAGAGAAAAGTCTCTCAAAAACTCAGATTCAATAGCCTCCCTCCCCATTAGGGTTACAAGCTTTTTAAATAGAGAAAACAAATCCTAATCAGAATAGGAAATTAACACCCTAAGTCCTAAACCTAATAACCACGAATTGGGCTTCAAATAAGCGAATGTTCAGCCCAAAAATTATACAAAAAACGTGAAAATCACTAAAAATAACCTACAATAACACAAAATATCAATTTGCTACAAACTGCGGCAGAACTGTGCAATTTTGACGCAAACTGTGTAATTCCGTGCAAATGACCTTAACTAAGCTTCTCTTAAACCTGAATGATGTTTACCATGCCTTGATAATCATCCAAGCTTCGATTTGCTTGTTGTATGTTGTTATCAACCCAGATCTGCTCAATAAGGCCATTTAAAACTTCTCGCATTTTCCTAGCTCTAGCTCGCGTGACTGGACCTCCTTGGGTGTGTAATGGATCACATGACGTAGTAGATATGCTGTCGTCTTGATTCCCATCACAACTGTTTGCAGTTGGCGCTGAGCTTGCTGTTCTAAGTGCAAGCTCCTTGCTCGCTCTCGAACAGGGTGACCGCGTAGCTGAACGCCCACCAGACAGCAATAACTGTTAGTCTCTCATATTAAATAAGAAAATAATCATGAAAGTGTGAATAAATACTTAGGTCCATTAATTTCATCATGGCGACTTGCCCACCATGCTGTTGCACATAGCTCCTGGCCCGTTGCTGGTCGGCCGGAGGCACAAATCCTTGCATGCCCTGCACCATGGTGTGCTGGCAGTCCGTCTTCACATAGCTAAAGCCCTCCGAATATGCAATCTGGGGCATCGACACTGAGGTCGACGCAGTTGCGGGCTCAGCTGCTTCCCGTGCATGGCAGACGGCATGTTTGGCGACCAAGCGGTGGTTGTTGGAACTGCCTGTGTGGGCTGGCTCCCCAAACTTGTTCTACGCCGTATAAGGGGGACCTCATCCTCACTGTCGGTGTCCTCACGCAAACGCCTGCATGCACCGGGGGCCACAGCTTCAACTTTATGCTCGGCGCGAGGCCTGGACGCCGAGCTTGATCCACGATGTGACGAGCTACAAGATTGTGGTGCTGGAGGTGGTCGCTCGTCAAATCGTGTTTGCCTTTGTGAAGTGTAGTCCGCTGCGCGACCTCGGGAGCCCTGGGCTCGTTGACGCTGGCGTCCCAGTATGTTGCTCATTTCTCCTGCACAAACAAATATATAAGACTCAGCTCAGCTAGAATTCATAGTATATGATAAAAGTAGGTTAAACGCTAGATTTGGTCCCTCAACTATAGTGGTTTGCACATTTTTGGTCCCTTAACAATTTTTTGCACTTTTTTGATCCCTTAACTATACGAAATGCACTCCATTAGTCCTTCTGTCAATTTTCGCCGTTAACTTGGCCACATGGCATTTTTTATATTTTTTTTGGATGACATGGCAAAAACAACTTAAAAGGCACTGATTTGGACTTTTTTTGGCGACATGTCATCTTCCTTTTCATCTTCCCTCTCTGCAAAATTAACCTCCACTCCAGAGAATCAATCTTAACCCATTTCTTCTTCCTCTCTAAATACTCTCTCATCTCCACTCCTCTTCCTTGAGAAATTGAACCCAGTTTCTGGGTTTCATTCAAGCCTCAAACTTAGTAAATCTTATCAAAT